TTTGAGAAAAAGATGATGGGGCCAGACACAGTCTTGAAGGCATAGCAAGGGACTACAAAGCCCTGGATAGAAGAATGGAAGCATTGAAAAGCTAGATGGAATTTTCTTTATTCCTTCTTACTGAATTTCATAGAGTAGAATATTGGAAGTAAACAACTAGATGCCATGATGTGGAGGAATACTGACAAGAGATGAAGCATACATTACAAGAACTGGGGAAAGTATATTTGAAAAGGTCTTTGCAATCCTGATCCAGTGGGCTTTAAATTGAATGCTGTGGTGGAGGGAGAAGAGAGACCACAAAAATGTGACACCAAGTGCTGAAAAACTAGACTGGCAGTGATGCATAGGATGTGAAGGATACAAATATATAATCATGTAAATATAGGAAGAGATTACAGTAAGTTATGACTCAAGATTTGCAGTCAAATCTACAGAAATGCATGGGATATTTTTTTAAAGGAAGAACCATACATCTTAATTTAGAAAGATAAATCTATCTTGATGTAGTTGCTGAAACCTTGCGGAATGAAATGTTTGAAATGCAAAGACTTAAGGTTATAACATATTGAAAAGGAATAGGTCAAAGATAAGGGGAGAAGTGGCATTATATGTAAAGGAAATGTACACTTCTTCAGATGTAAGTACAAGAGAGAGTGCTTATACTTTTCTTTTTCTTTTTCTTATTTCTTACAGTTATTATATTATAACTTGTCTAATCAAGCGAAATTTCCAGATAACACTTTCAGGAACCTGACTACAGAATTTTCAGAGGGGGGTGGGTGGTGGGTGGGGAGGGAGCATAATAAAAAGATAGGTTAATTGCTCAGCCATCTTTTGGGTAAGGAACTAAGACTGAAAGTTTCCAGAAAGTCTATAATGGTTTTGCTTCATTTACTACACGATTAAAGAGGAAGTGAATAGTCTCTCCTTGTTCTGATACTATCCAATAGGGAACAGCTGTTTAAAGAGATAAAAAGCTTGGGAAGAACCAACCATGTCATTTTGTTTAGATCAAGTTATTACAGAAAGGGAATTTGGAACATAGACATAAATGCATACTAGATTTCAAGAGATCCTATTTCAAATATATCAGATAAGTACTAAATAGGAACTGATGGATAGAGATTCTCCATTCAAAACAAATAGAAGGTATGTGTGTTGGGAATATCAGAAAAGTTAGAGGCAGGAAATATAAATACAATCCAGTTAAAAGACAGACAACAGAGAGTTCTTAGGAAACCATTGGGGTGCATTGGAAACCTGACTGAACTAAAAGAGATGCAGACAGGAAATGGAAGATGGTTATAATTTCTGAAGAGATAAATGACCAAGAGGTAATACTTACAGAAAGATGGAATTGCTAAATACTAAAGAACAGAAGCAAGGGAAACTAAAAATAACAAAGCAAGGAAATTATTTGGCTTTGACAGTAGTAAGAGAGAGTTGCAGGATGGGGAATGCAAAGCCCCTCAACTTCTTCTATGCTTCGATCTTTTCTTAAAGAAGAACTTGTCTGAAAGTATATTCATCTGTTTAGAAAAAAAGTAACAATGAAATGTGGGGTAGAAGTGCTATGAGGGAGCAATTTCTCTTGTGGTAAATATATATTTTCTGACCATGCATATTCCATTTGGCCAGGGTCTTCCATTTAAGAAAAGTTATGAATTTTGTGAACATCAATAGAACATTTTAAATTTATAATGTGCCTATTATTGTTCTATTTCATATCATGAATTTTTCCAGGCAGCAATTACCTGATATCAGCATGTACTGAACCATATTGAATACTGCCTATCCTTTAAAAACGTTGTTTTCCCCAACTTAATCTGAGTAGATGTGTTCAATTTACCAGTGACTGATTTGATCATAACCACTCTAACAATGGTATGGTTTAGTGATTAGCATTGTGGCCTCCAACCTGTGGTTAGTCAATGACACTCTGTAAAGATACAGGAAATAATCTGTGATGCATTCCTAAATATAAGCAGGAGTTTGGCATTTCAATTAAGACGATTGACTATATATTTTTTGCTATTTTTTAAAATAAATTTTACAGTTTGTAATTTTACAGTATGTACAGTATATGTACAATGTTACAATTGTAAGATCATGTGTTGTAAAGCTTCTATAATGTGTGTTTTACTATACTAGGCCTAATTAAAACCAGTCTGCCACAAGATGGAGGTCTTCCTGCTTCTCTTGCATGGAAGGTATTGTACCTTGGAGGAGAAAATGCAAGAGGGAATCGGGGGGGGGAAAGGTCCTTGTAAGTAGAGTTTTCTTGGCACTAGGGTGGTAATGCTTTGCCAATGATTTCTGGGTATTTCCCCCCAAATCTTTAGTTTATCTAATACTAATGAAGTCTGATCCTGCTTAGTCTTGGAGATTAGTTGAGGTAAACTTATATTGTCAACTGCTGTGTAGGTGTTCTGTTTTCCAAGTTTAAAAGTTTGATAATATTCATGTTCCTTCAACAAATTGAAATATTGTGATGATACAATAAGCTTCTTCACTATTGCGTAAATTTTAAGGCATCTTAAGGGAAAAAGTTCTGGTATGTGATATCCATCGTTATCTATACACTCCTCAGACTACCATACGCAAAGCATAATTAATAGATTTTGCAGTGAACTAGTGAAAAGAATGAAAGCGCTATGTTAACATTCCTGTTCATATACAAATATTGATGTTTAGGAATTGTTGAAAATAAATTGCCTTGTCACCAAATACTTTCCAAATGAAAAGTGTGAGTTTGAATTATAAGTTAGTTTCATAGAAAACCTGTATCTAGGTCAGATTATTTACATTGTCATAAATCATCCATTTCAATCCCTGATTAGCAGTGGCAATTTCTCTCTGATTTTTTTTAAAAACAGAAATGCAAAAGGAGCTTTCCCTACCCTGATGTTGTCCAGAATTACCATTATACCATTAATTATGAAAATGTAGCATAAAGCATAAAAGATTGTGACATGTTGTGCATGTATACCAACCAATCAATATATGGATAAGTAGGCACTGCAATGGTAAATTAAGTCTTTCTAATATTTATAAACCATTATTAAATGTATTTTTTAATTTAAAAAAACATTTGAGTCAAGGTTTGATAAAATAAGAACCAATTCATGAATTCTTTGCATATTTTATTTTTCTTTTTTTGATTTCCAACTCACGCACATCTGGCATATTTTACATTTTTGCAATAAAACATGGTTACAATAGCTTAAGGAATTTATATAGCCAAAATATTTCACCATGATCTTGAGATGAAATGAACTTATCTTCCAGATGGTTCAGTATTCTCCCAGTTCTAAGCTACAAACTCAAGATATTGCTTACAGAACAATGATGAATAACTTAATCATTACATTGATTCCCCATGATTTCAGAATCTTATTAATACAAACAACAATGAAGAAGGTATTTAGTGCTAAAACTTACTAATACAAGGTGAGTAACAAATAAGAACCACGTCAATAAATAATGTTTCTGGTGCCAAAGTGCCAGTACAAAGAATCCATTATCTTGTGTTTTTTTAAATAAATGACTGTGAGTGAGTGTAAAGTTTGAGAAAATTACATTCCTGTTACATGCCTCATAGCCCTACCGACACAATATGTACATCTATGACAATACAGTCACCAAATATACAAAGAAGAAACATGAAGTAAAGTGTATATACCCCTGGGTATGTTACATGATTTGGAGAATGTGCAGAAAATTATTCTGATAGTCATTATTACAGTACTGTCAAATATGAGTGCCTTCAATGTAAAATGAGTGTTAAACATATGAGTTTTAAAAATATTCAAAAGAATAACCCCAATGAAGCTAAGTTTGCTTTTAACCAAGCTTTATTTCCAAGGAATTTAAGAGAAAATCTTAGTTGCTCTCTCCCTGCAATGCATAGTATGCCAAATGTGATGAATCTAGAAGTCTAGCAACTTGCTTTGGTGGGAATCATAAAGCGCTGTAGCAGAGCATCTTAACCATGCTCCTGCCTGTTTATCACATTATTAATTTTTAAGGGAAAATTATTTTTAATGCATAACTATGGCGACAATGGCTTCATATCCAAATGCTTCATGTAATGAGCAAAACTTCATTTAGAAGGGGTGGCTTTAGACTGAAACATGAAGACCATGTTTCAATGGCAATGGCTCCATTGCAGCTTGCACCTATTTCAATCTTTAAATACAAGCTGGGCCTTGGACAGCTTTCAGTTCAACTTGTGGATGTGGTTTCAAGACATCAGGCTTAAAGTACATGCAAGTTGTAACTCCACAATAAAATTAAGAAACAGTTTTTGTTTTTTATACAAGGCTTTACTTTTACAAAAGTATCCCTTTAAAGTTAAGATGTGCATCTGATGTACAAAGTATCAAACGTAGGGTTTTTTTTCCTTTTAATTGATCAGCTTGAAAAGAGGCTAGGAAATGGGAAATGGATGCTAGGGTCATGGCCCAAACCATATAATAGCCAGACACAAGTTCCTCAGAATATTCAAAAGTCTCTTGTGATGTGTTCTTCTACCTTTTCTCAGTAAACAAAAGTATATGAAATAATTACCAAAACATCTATTAAGTCATTATAATTTACATGATACAAGCTCGCTTCTGCAGCAGCTGGTGTTCAGTTGTGAAAAAACACACAAAATAAAATGGTTGCTGACTACAATGTACAGCTATTGCTGGGTGTAATGGAATGTACAACGGAGGTCAATGCAGATTTCTTTTTTCCACCAGAGATACCTTTCAGTAGCACTTGTGCTCTCAATGTAATCTTTGCTTTCAGTTCTTCACTCTGGTTTAATATCTATTCTGATGCTCATAATGCCAACGATTAAAATCTATATTAAAAGCTACAATGCTACCAGACGCCATGCCGGTAATTAGAGTCCTGAAACAGAAACAGAGATCAGGTCTGTAAATATCTGAGATATTTATTGTTCATAATAAACTACGGTTAGCTAGTTTGAAGATCAGTTGTCATTCGAAAATACTAGGCAAAATGGAAAAGTCTGCTAAGGAACTTAAGAGTCTATGATGCTATTCCATTTTACTTTGTGAGATAACAAATGAGTAAAATATGGAGCGTTCTTTGGAAAATGGCTGCTTCTACTTCTCCAGTAGTGCTCTTCTAAAGAAGTGTAAAGTACATACAGATTGACTGGGTTAAAAGTAAAAAGAATCAACAAAATGAATATAAATACCTACAAAAAAATTGCGTTTTCTCCCCAATGTGGACTTTCCATTTTATTGAACTCAATGGTTAATTGAGTGGTGCATACTGTCCCACTCAAAATTACCTCTCCTAAAATAGCATACTTCTTTAAAATATAAAAATTTACAAATTCATAACATCTCATGAGATTTTTCACAAGAATATTTAAATTTAGAAGATGTTATCTAAATTTTTGAAATGACCTTTTTGTGGGTACACATGCTTTGGATTGGGAAATGTTACTGACTCATGTTTTAAAACTTAAATGATCCAGTTGTGCTATGTATTTAACTAAGAGAAGGATTGCTAAGGAAAATATTAAATGCATATCACCTCTTATTGAGGTGATATGTTCACCCACGTAACACCTATCCTCCGCGAGCTGCACTGGCTGCCTATTGGTCTCTGGATACGCTTCAAGGCGCTAGTCATCACTTATAAAGCCCTTCATGGTATTGGACCTGGGTACTTGAGAGACCGCCTGCTGCCAATTACCTCCACTAGACCGATTAGATACCACAGATTAGGCCTCCTCCGAATTCCATCCGCCGGCCAGTGTCGACTGGCAACTACCCGGAGGAGAGCCTTCTCTGTGGCTGCTCCGACCCTCTGGAACGAACTCCCCGTGGAGATTCGAACCCTCACCACCCTCCAGGCCTTCCGCAAAGCCCTTAAAACCTGGCTGTTCCGACAGGCCTGGGGCTAAAGAGCTGTTGCCCCCGTCTCGAATGGTATGACTGTTGTGTGTTTTAAATTGTATATTGTTATGTTTGTTTTTTAAATTTTTTGTCTGTATCCCCCCTTCCCCGGTTCGAGTTGTGAGCCGCCCTGAGTCCCCCTTCGGGGGAAAAGGGCGGCATACAAATACAATAAACTGAACTGAAACTGAACTGAAACTTATTGCTATTTTTTTAGGATTCAGCTTACCTCTGATCATGGGATAAGTCCATTGCCCTAATGCCAGCATCACAGCCAGGATAAATGTAGAGTTGTTTGAAGTCACAAGCTTGCCATACTTCTACTACTCCATTATCACCACCTGTAACTAGATTCTGCCCATCACTGCTCAGAAGGATAGCCTACAGGAAAACCAAAAACAGAAGCAACCATAATGGATCTTCATTATTTAACACATTTTACCTATAGTCCTAAAGTCTAACCTTAAGTGCAGAATGCTGAGCAATAAATTGTTTTTTATTATTATAAGCAAAAGTGAAGAAGGCTTGCCTTAAAATTTACACAAATCAATTCAGCCTTTGCAATGGTAAACATCACTCTGAACAACTCGAGTTATGTATTCATTTAATCTCCTTGAGCTGTTCTTGCTGCTGGTAGATTTGGTTCCTTAGGGGCCAATATTCATGACATAGCTAAGACGTTTTCACAGAAGTCAGTGTGTTAACATTATGATACGCATATAAAAGGCTCATCACTTGCATTTTGCTGGCATGAGTTTCATTATTTGCAACCCCCAACTCCCACCCCCCACATTGATGCCTCTGAGTTTCCAAAATTGAAGGACAACAGAGGTCAAACTACTTAAGTTTTAAGCATGGTCAGATGACTAAAGAACAGATATCCAGGAAACACTGTGTATTAAGCAATGTCTTGGTATAGTTTTTAAGAATAAGTTTGACTTAGTTGGAGCTGAAAAGTTTTTTCTATAGATGTAACTTTTTCCAGGTGACAGTGAACTAATGTTAATGCCTTCTATTAGAATATAAAATAAAAATTACCCTGGTTGAATCATTAATTTCCATCTGGGCCAAAAGTTTTCCATTAATGCTGAAATTGCTGAATCTTCCTCGTTCATAATAGATGATACAGTGGCCTTCACTAGACACAGATATTAGGCGTGGATACAAACAATTTTCTGTTCCTTCTAGTGCTCTCAGCAAATCTCCAGTAATTGTGTGTACAAGACAAGGTCCTTCTGTATATTACAAATTAATAACAGCATATTACAGAAATGGAAATTCATACAGTTTCGGTCAATGATTAACAATGGATTAAAAATACTACTATGATTTCTGAGAAAGGTTTCTTATTATTTAAATCCTAATGATTTCAACATGAATTAAGAAAGGATTAGGATGGGATAGAATATCTCTCTACTAATGTAGAAAAACTCCACTATCAAGGAGAGTACATCTGATCTCCATGGCACCTGCTATACCTAAGGAAATCTTTAAAGGCTTATATCTATTCTTAGTAGAGGTATTAGCAGCAGGAGGCCAGAACAGGGGCAGGTCAGGTATGGAATAAAACTGATGGTGGATTTCTGTTCCATTGAGGTAATAGTTGGCTTCTATAACCATATAATTTAGAATTATCATGGCTAATTCTTCCAGCTGAGTGAAATGAAAAGTAAGTTATAATTGGCTGAAAGGCCAGCAGAGACACTTTATCTAAATAACTCTTGCTTAGATGAAGGTGAACTAGTTGGATTTAGAAAGAAGAGGTCTTTCCTTTTGCTCTAACACTTATTTTAGCCCTCCGTTCCATTATAAGTGAATAATGTTGCTTCAGTTCAATCTATCGAGAAATGGATTAATGGGCTGTGAAAATAACATTGAGGAGGAGGAAGAAGAGTTGTAGCCAAGGGAATCCTAAGATAAGAGAAATCTGAGTGAAAAGCAGAAATGGAATTTGAGAAAGTGGCTAAGGCTTGACCCTCTTTAGTTCTCTTTAGGATAAAGGCAGGGAATGGTGAGGTAGATTCAGACTTGCAAGAGTCTTTTATTGCAACCTTATAACACAAGTTGATTAGTGTTTGTAACTTCCGTGTTCAAATCCGGGCTGCCTCGTAGGGCTGGCACATCTAGTTTCAATATCTTCCTGTCAAGTCAGAGCTTTTTAAGGGAAACTTTGAGACTTAACTGCAATCCATGCTGGAAACCTGGTTGTTTGGGGGCACTTCTTTTATTGCAATGTTGCATAGGTTATTTACTATTTTTAGATGTTATTGTGAATTCATTTTAATTGTTGTAGAATTTGAACAGTTGATCCTGATGACATCAATAAATTTAAAAAGTCAAAAAATAAAGACAATATAAGCCATGATAGAGATGAGAAGACAATGTACTTCATGTACTGCATCTATCATGTCAAAGAAGTGGGAGAAAAAAATTAAACAGAGCTTCTTTGAAGCACTGTTACATCTATATGGCCATGAAAAGGGTCTCTAAATGTCTAACATTATCTCCAAGAGGTCAAAGATCTTTAATTTCTATATTTATTTCAGGACCTTTTTTGTTCAATCTAGATTCAATAGAACCATTGGCATCCATAGGAATTAAATTCCTGAAGTCACTCTTATCAAAGAGAAGATTTCAGGAAGTGGAAGTAAGGGAAAATGTTAGAGGAAACTGACCAGCATGCATTTTGATTTCTAAAAAAAATGAGTTTAATAATCTCAGAGCTGCAGAATAAGCCACAGGGAAAAGGCTCAAGAGGAATGGGAATTTCTAATGATAGGAATATTAAAAGCATGACAGCAAACAGTTCTAGTAAGGATAAAAATGGCAGTCAAAACAAGAAGCCAGCCCAACTACTGAAAATGAAGAAGGACACATATAAACAATGAAGTGGTCACAAAGGAAGAGTTTGAGAAGGTAGGCTGGAAGTGTAGAACTTGTGGCAGGAACGTTACTGTACGTGTCAGAAAGATTGAAATCTGTAATAGTGAATGTAGGCAGTATATTTGGGAAACTTCACGTTTTAAAAAATAATTTCAAACCAATGGATTCTGTTCCACCCAACACATTTGGCAGTATTAATTATTTATAGGTCTGAATGTTGGTAACAATGTTTATGATGGTTCTTTTACCAGAGGCATCCTGGTGGCTACTTACTCCATTTCTTGATTTAAGCTCCTGCAGCTAAAAGTAGTCCTCATTCAGCAACTGCTTCACAGCAATTTTTCAGTTATGTTGTGATGAAAAAGTAACTGAGACTAATGTTTACAATCTTTACAGTGCCTTTCTGTCACCATGTGTTTGCCATTACAGTCAGTTATTATGTGTTGTCCTGTGCCTCACTCATTTCTCCATTCCCTACTCAGAGAGCAGAGGGATTGCTAAAGCTATCTCTTGCTGAGCTGCTTTTCTCCACAGTGGTGTCCCTAAAAAGTGTTAACCACAAATTAACAATTTAGCTGTGGATTTAATTAGTTGATTATAAGCTTCCTCCTAGGTTGTGGTTGCTGCCTGAAATTGACAATCAATTTCATACTAAAGGTTTTTGTTTGTCTATTAAGTGGCTTATGGCATGCTGCGATGGACTAAGCAAACAGCTGTCACAAGCACATTCCTTTCTAATAATGCATATTCCCCTTAGTGTGCCTGCTTACTCTCTTATAGTCCCTTACTCTCCAATCAATGTACATTCAGGTATCAATTCCTGTCTTATTATTCCAGAGCAAGGGTGAGTATTTCAAAGAGCAGGGGAGTAGGGGAAAAAGGCTATAATATTTGCCTTTTTACCTGATTCCTCATGAATCAGGTTTTGACACACACACATACGCACACACACACTTTGCTGTTTGGGCTCAGCTGGCTATTTGAGATTGTATCCTTCTAATGTTGTAAAGCAAGAGAAACCTGAAGTAAAATCATAAACACAGTTTCAGTCTTATGGTTTTTTTCCTATTTAGCTTAACCACCAAGTTACTGGTTCCGACTGCAGGTGCTAAATGAGGACTTTCTGTTTATAAGTTATTGGTGGAAATAATTATTTTGAGGCATGAAGTTTTAAACTAAAATTAATCTTTAGCAACTGACCTTTAGCACCACTTATGACAAGTCCCAGCTCAGCACATACTGATACGCAGACAACTTCATGATCATGACCAGTTAGAACAGCTCTGGGAGCAGGATAGTCACCTAAAAAGGGGAAAAAATGAACCATAAATATATATTAAGCCAGCTTGAATTTCAATTTGGGAGCATTTCTACTATTATTTTGGGGGCCATCTGGTTTAGAATATCTCTAATAAAATGGTATCACAGTAGTATTAGGGATTTCTTGATTTATACATCATATTCCTTCATGATACACTGATATAGATATTATGTCTATATTAGTCATAATAATTGCATGTATATTTATATGATTTGATTGGGTTTAGAATATAATCCTTGCTTTTGTTTACATTTGAACAAAATATTTTAATTAGGCTGCATAATGCTTTGGATTTGATATTTATAATTTCAACTTTTATGGGTCTTCCCACATATGAAATACTCTAAGTGGTTAACAAAAGTTAAGATGGTATAACAATTTAAAACTGTCCAGATTCACCTTACAGGGGAAAGGGGGAGCATAAAAATAAATAAATAAAAATAAAAATAAATAAAACAAGAAACAGAGCTTCAGTGTAAAAATATGCTATTTCTCTTGGAAGCTTCAGTGTAAAAATATACTATTTCTCTTGGAAGCAGTTGTATTTTTTCTTGGATTTGTACTGTTGCTTTCCACAGACAGGTGATATATTTACATTCTGAAATACCTTTTTTGAATTAAGTGCTGAACAACCCCAATTATTTAGATTTCAGTGCATATGCTGGCTAGGAAATAGCTAGCCATCATGGCAACGCATCTGGGAGACATCTGGTTGGGGAGGACAGTCTACTTATAAAATTTGGGATATACATGTTTGGATTAAAATAGAAAAGCTGAATAATATTAGAGGTAATTTCTCTGCCTTGAAAGATGTTTATATCAGTAACAGGTGCATTATATTATGAAAAGTAAACAGAGAAAGAGCTGGGAAGAACTCGGTGATATATCTTTCTATGCTTCTGGGTGGGATGTTTAGATATCAATAGGTTATTTATTTATACTTAATATTTTGCAAATTTGCCTGTACTGAAGGAATGTAGGAGGCGAAGGTATCAAATACAAACTATATAAACAAATTATTTAATTGTCTAAATGGTTTTTGTATCCTTTTATAAGTGCCTGTTTCAATATATGACAGCAGTTTTAAAAACATGTTACATTCTACACAGAATGAAACATTAGATTAAAAGTCGGCAACTTTTCCAGCACAATGTGCTCTAAAGGATATGTATCAGGAGGTGAAGGGGTTTGGCTAAATTTCTGGAGGATGCTAAACTATAGCTGGCAGAGGGCATGAACTTATTTTACAATATTCTCATTTTGAAATTGCTATTCTCAAGTGTGAATTACTTGACTTAGCTCTGGAAAAACCTCAAGAGTTTTTCATGAGAGTTGACAAGAAAGCTAAGAAGGGGGAAAGGAACTATTATCCACATTACACATAATTCTGAAGTATCAAGCTTAATACTCTCAACTGCAGGTTAAACTATAATTAATGTTGTTTATTTGGTATGGTCCCTGAAAGCAGATCTTTAGGCATGTCCTAACTGTAATATAGTTAGAATCAGCTAAGGCTTGGTGGTAACAGTAAATAACTCTTCACTCTTTGCAACAAATGAAAGAAAATAACAGTTCAATCAGCATTATATTATTTCAGCAAACCTGCTAAATGGCTTCACATACCACATTTCTTGGCCAAAAATTGGAACATTAGGGATTGTACCAATCATTCAAAATCTAACAAAATTATCTCACCCTAATGGCACTACTGATAGATGCCGTGAAACATTAAATGCTAAGATACTAAAGGATATCCAGCTGAAGCTTGACCCGTGAATTGAAACACTGTCAGTTTGAACTCACAGTAATTTTCCCAACACTGTACTTCTACATTTGTGTAGTTGAATGCTTTAGGGCAAAATTGTAAAATGTACAGGAATGTGCCATCTCAGTAATAATAAATAATAGGGTAGCTTTTGTTTCTCAAAAAGAGATAATATGCAATTAGTAGTATAGAGGTTCTTATGTAAATATTAATTGTCTAACCATTTAGTCCTATGGCTTCACATTTCCTTACAAATTAATATTTCATGTGGATTATAAACATTATTCTTTTCCTTTTTTGATAGTGTCATACATTATCATAAGTGCAATAACTAATAATTATTAATTATGCTAATAGTTAATCATTTGAAAAGTGGAAGAGATCAAAGCATTAATATTTGAGAGAATTGTTTACCTAGTTGAAGAGTAAGATATTGCATAATATTGCAAAATAAGCATCCATAAAATATCCTGAATATCAAATCCCAAAGAGTTACTTCCTAGAAATGTTATTCTCAAAGATACTAAGCCAACAAAAAAGCATTGATGGATTTCACATTGCCAACAAGACTTAAATTGACAACTATATCCTAAATAGTGGAGAAAGCATCTTAAAAGACATAATCTATTAATTTTTCATAATCATCTACATTCTCAATCATTCTTGAATCTAATAACTTTTTCTGAATTCTGTCATCTTGTTTGTACCTTTGTCCTTCAAAATAATTCACTCATCGCCAATCGTGGTTTTATGCAACTTGTTACACACTTTATTTCTTATCTGTTTTTTTCTATTCTTATACTGCCCATCTCCAAGACTTTAGGGATTTCTGATTCTTTCATTATCACCATTCATTGGAGAATGTCATACAAATAATAAATTCACAATTTCATATGCACTCAAAACGATCACACTACTTTAACTGAGAACTATTACATTTTTCTTCTTTCTTTTGGCTTCACAAATACACAAAGGGCAAACAAAACTCAATTTTATATCAAGCATGCTCATACTATTTTATGCAAGCTGGATCTTTATTAAAGTCTATCTTGTAAGACAACATCCTGTTGCTCTTGTCAACCAGGAAGCATACATAACCTGGAAGGATTCTTTTGAAATAATATCTACCAAGGAGTGTTGGGAATACTTTTTTATTTCTGGTTATAAGCATGAAGACTTTTACTGCTATAAACTACTGTGTCAACTAAGTTTATACCTGCTTGGGTTCTGGTTATCCCTTAACATCTTTATAATGTTTCTTAAATCCCTGTGCTTTACTAAGAGTTATAGGCTCACATGTCTACGTGCACAGCACTTGTTCTTCCCTATATTATTGGGTGAAGATTAGAATCATATATTTTGTACAAGCTCCAAGGAGAGATTGCATATAACCATGTAATACAGTCAAATTTGTCAAATTGCACCCAATATTTATATCTGTAGGTAGAAATAAGAAGTACAACTGATGCAGACATCAAATAAAGTGGATATTATCTATGTGAAAGTTGACCAGAAGCTTGATAACAAATGGAGATGTTAATAGCTATAACTGCAATCTTTTTTCCATTAGATATCTTTAGGTCATGGATCTCAAACTCGTGATGTCATGTGACGTTTTACGAAGTTTTTCCCATTCATGGAGCTGGGGTGGAAGTGGCCTGTATGTGACACATCCAGCCCACGGGCCGCTAGTTTGACACTCCTGCTCTAGATTTTGGGAAATACAAATCTGCATGCTTACTGAAAAAAACTGACATCTAAACAATTAGTATCTCTTTTGGAGCAAAACAATTTTAATATTAAAGGATTTTATATTCAAAGCCCATATTCAAAACCCAGTTCTTCTCTAGAAGGTTTTATAATTAACCATTTAAAGAAATAATATGTACACATACTATTAATGTTTTAAAACTAATTACCTCCTAATTAATTTAGGAAGTCTTTTGAATCTGCAATATTTACATACATATAAATAAAAATGCCTTCATTTGTATTATCCACAAAATCAGTGATACTTTCTCCCTGCAATTCTTTATAGAGACATTTAGTATGTTTTAGCGTACAGACAGTTTATCACATTAATGTAATGGATACTGAACCTTCTCTTTAAGTATATGTAAAATGTGTCAAGTGAGACAAAATGTACTTTAGTGCCTTTAAGGGCTATTTACTATAATTGGTCCACAAACTGAGGTTTGGGCTAGTTGACACAATGTGTTCGTACAGTGCTCAATGCAAACATGGCCAGGAAAAGCAACTCACACCTCTGGCAACTTGCTGCTATATAATGAGAAATGTCAAGTCCCAAGATCAATGAAATTTCAGGCCCGGGGGACACGACAGGAATAGCATTGATTGTTTTAAAGAAACCAGTCAAAGGCTGAATGCAATATATTGCAGAGAGAGACTCAGGAGGATAAACAGCCAAGTCCACTATACCTACATGACAAAAAATTCAATCATCTCTTAACACTAGCTGCTGGCTCCATTTGCCTCCCCCCCCCCCCAGTGAGCTGGTTCCAATTAAGGTGCACAAATTAATTTTTATCACTTCTGAATTAGTTTCCGGATTTGTATCCATTTCAGAAAAAACAACCTTCCTTCCTTCCTTCCTTCCTTCCTTCCTTCCTTCCTTCCTTCCCTCCCTCCCTCCCTCCCTCCCTCCCTCAGATTTTCCACCCAGTCTAATTAGAAAAAAAAGAACTTAAGCAACCTAACATAGAGTACAAATGGGAAAAAAGCAAGTTGCCAGTTTTTATAAGTTGAGTTACAGAGCAAACTATGTAAACCTATGCATAACCAAGGATTATTCAAGTTTTAAAAAAAGTAAGTTAAAGAATAATTAAACAATTTTCTAAACTATAAACCCAGAACATGTTTTTTGTTTGAACAATCTAAAGGCTGCAGTCTATATACTAACTGAAAAGACTAATGCAGGAATCCTAGTGAAAATGTGAACATCACATTTCTTAGTCTAGAGCACCTGTGTCAAACTCAATTGCGTCATGTGATGTATCATGACGATTTTTGCCTTTGTGGAGCCGGTGTGGGGGTGGCCTGCACATGACATATCTGGCCCAGGGACTGCCAGTTTGACATCCCTGGTCCATACAGCTTAACTTCTAAAACATTTTTAAGTAATGTAGCAGCTAACAGAAAATCCTGATTGGGAGCCATGTGTAACTTTAGCTCCCTTCCGATGCAGTGATTTATTCAGAATTTTTCATTTGTTAACTATCACTTTCAAAATAATCCTTTTTCTACCATACATTTGGAAGCATTAAAATAGATTAGATAGGATGCTAGGTAGATCAGTGTACCAATATGGTATGAGGCAATATTAGAAGGTTGTTAGGAACATATAAAAGCACTTATATATGTATATTTAGGTATGAGAACCAGTAAAGACCACATCACTAATGCTTTTCAACTTACTTAGTCACTTTATTAATAAGTAACGCCAGAGAGTGCTGAAGTGAGTGCAAGCATGTGTATATGCATATGAATGTAGCATATCAGATGTATTATTAGTGGTGTTGATGAAAAAAATAAAAGACGGGATCCTGCTCTATATAATTTTCTGAAACAACTGAAGTTCCTTTTGATAATTGGATGCACTGAAGCTGAAATTGATAATTAACTATCTTTCAGCTTAAAGGATCATTAGAAAGTCAAACACCTAGCCCACATAATTACCACAACCTGACATCTTTCTCTTGAGTTCCTTATCTCCTTATGTTCTGTAATATAAAATATCTTATCTACATCGCCAGATGACAGCTTTTGTGAACCTAATCCTTTTCTAAAAAATATCATCCACATCTTCCTAGAAATTCATTTTAAAGATGTTAGCTAATTGGATTTAACTTAGCCTATACTCTGGTTTTCATTTTCCTTATAAAATAAACTCCAGTAAATAGATATTCTAACAACATTTCTCTCTATAACTGGTAAAAAAAACCTACATTTTTTCAGTAAATTATGAAACCCATAAATGATGACGTGTTTCCAAAGGCTTTGCTGGAGAAAATAGTGGAAAGGGACCCATGAGGGAGAAGATGGAGAAGATGGCTATACAATTCTGTACAGAATTGAAAATATAAAAGAAATATTACATAAATAGATAAATGGTAATAACTTACTGCTGTTCGGATTGTCACCAATGATATGATGTCGGCCACTCCAATACCACAACAGCAAAGTAGCATCCCGAGAGCCAGAGACAATGTAGCAGTCCCCACCAATATAAGACTCTGATCTGGCAAGACAAGTAACTACATCCCAATGGCCAAATACGATCTGTGTTAGTTTGCCTACAACAAAGAGAGGTTGCTTGACTGATCTTTTTTTCCTGTGCTGCAGTGCATGATGAATACAAATTGAAGCTACCAAACAAATTTAAAAACAAAGCACAAATAAAAGACATTTTCAGCAATGGACTAGAAAACAGGCATTGTGATTGTCTTCAGATGGCAGGCAATAAGGTATTCAGTATGAGCATGTTGTATGCAGGCTGTATCAAGTATTAGACTGGACAAAAGCATAACATTTCCTTTCATTGGATCTAATCTCCATGCAGATGTGTTATTACTGCTTTTTGACATATGATATGGCATTTCAGCCAATAGATGCCAGGTAATTTGCACTAAACGCTCTGCAGCTTTAACATGTATAAATGTAAAAAAAAAAGCTGTTCCCTCCAGAGTTCTCATTCTGTATCCTAAAGGCTGAAGAGGTTTCTGTATTCCCAGGTGTCAAGGTGATATAACATTGACTTGTTGTTCATCAGAGAAACATAGAAAACTGTCCACTCTTGAATGGTAATGGCTCTCCAGAGTCTCAAACAGATATCCTGCCTTTCACCCACAAGTGATCATTCTTCACTGGAAATGCTAGGAACAGAACCTGTGACCTTCTCTATGCAAACTATTTGTTGTATGATTGAAGTTACAATTTTTACCCTCCTGATCTCCTCCTGTCACAAAACCATCACATCCAAGGCAGCTGCTGGATTGTAAGCCTGAGAATTCTCATTGCAGCTGCTGCCACTTGAATTCTGAATAGTTTAAAATCCCTTGAAAATTTAAACAATTTAGGGGGTGGGATTTAAGTAGTAAAAAAATCTGCTATTGGTAACTAACAGATTTATCCCTATCCTAAAGGGGGGAAACATTAAACGTCACTCTCACCAGAACATCCTAAATGAGTATTCTCTCAAAAGATATTGCAAAATATCTGTGGTGCCTAAAATGCGATTACAAATTTATACTTAGATTGGATTAAAATAGCTGAGAGCAAAAATCTCCAAAATTTGAAACAGATTTCAAACATTGTTTTTAAATTAGCTTTTGGGGTTTGTAACAGTTACTAATCCTTATTTTAATTCCTTCTCTGATATGAAAAAATATCATTTTCTATATTACTATATTTACTATACTATATACGTATCTATTACTATATTTAAATATTCAATTTAAAATATTTCTCTATTTTGACATTCTGTGAATGATATAGGAAAATGAATAAAATCCCAAGTGAAAATTCCACCTGTTTCTGTTGAATAAACTCGAAAGCTCTTGTCCCAGAAACCACAGATGAGAATGTAGCGATTATCTGCTGTGACCACGAAACAATGAGCATTGATTTGAATGCTTTGATCCACAAGGTCTGTGATCTGCCGTTTATTCACACCAGAGTTATTGGCTGTGCAGAACAAGAAAAAAAGGAAATTCTTTCAGAAACTTTACATCATGAAAATAAACTTTGCATGTTGAGTGAACATGCTAATTCAGGCACATCCCACTACTATACCTTCAATTCAATCTGTCAAGTCTCAAATAAGAGCCAAAGCTTTTCTAATACATACTACTTTGCAAGCCATTTCTCCCTAACACAATGTATATTTCATAGTGTAAAATTAGTGACCTCTAACTATTTTTCTCTATTTTGAATTCTTCTAATTAATGAAAATATTGTACACTAAATTATTGTTTAAACTAATTATTTCTTAATTATTTTCCATCTAACATAACATACCAATCAATGGATCCATTTCAATAGGAAGGTGATGAGCTTGATCTAGAGAATACCCTGGTGCTCCCCTGAGGCCTAAGGAACAGAAAAGAAATGTCAATAATGGCTATGTACTATGGGATTCCTAATATTTCCCTCTTTCTTGCTTTCCACATTACAAAATGACAAGGAGGTTTTTTTTTGTGTAAGACTGGAAATCTGAATGGACTTTTTCTGAAAGAAGAAACTATCAAATTGATTTTGGAATTAAATGGGACAAAGAAGATGGGGAGAACATTAAAATGATAATTACTAATTGTTAGTTTTGTATATTTTTTACTTTATTGAAAAACTCTGCTCTCTCTCTCTCTCTCTCTATGTATGTATGTATGAATGAATGAGTAAATGAATGAATAATTATGCTGGAAAAGATTCTGATATTGTATATGAGTGGGATGTAGTTTTATATTAATCTAGACCTCAAAAAAAGAGCAAGTCTTCACAACCTAATGAAAAACAACCCCTGGGCTCTATTACCCAGGCATGTTCTGGTTAAAGAAAAGTGGGCTGATATTACTATCAATGCCGCTTTGCTCAAGACATGATACTTGAACCTTTTTGTAATAAACTTTGTGTTTTCACTTGTCAGAATTACAGTTTAATATAAATTTACAACAGGATAGCAAAGGGATATGTTGTGGTCCCAAAATAAGACCTATATGAGGGCATTTGTTTCGGATGTAGAAGTTGTCAGGCATGCAAGCCGTCTTTTCATTGTGGACTTTAGGTCTGCCACACTTTCTATTATTCTATTATGCATTTTCTATTGTGGAAAAATGGGAGGGGGGATTATACAGAATTGGGTGATATGTAGCCATAACAAAATTCTTTCTAGAAAGCCAAGGTCATTCTTTGTCTCTGCACCTGGCCGGAACTGTATGGGTGGAAGCTGCCAGTGTGGCAGTGGAAGATTGAACTATGTGATGGACTTGTGGATGTGGGGGCAGGATCTTACACTTTCAACTGGGTGGGAAAACCTGGAAGCTTTCAGATTCGGGTTTTCCCAGATGTGCCAATATGGCTCTCTTAATAAATTGGAATTTTGAGGAATCCGTTGCCTTGAACTCTGATTTACTTTTGGATGCTATCTGGAACCCTGACAGAAGTTTGGATTCCTTTCCCATTTTGCTGCACGTCTCTTTAACAATTTCTCTACGTTCTATTTTTCTATTCCTAAATCTGGGTTCTCAATCTATCCTTTTATAAATTTGTTTATTATGGTTTGTTTCCTATATGTTTTCATTTGTTTCTGAATAAAATTAGATGGAGACTGGCATGTTTATTACTACATTTTTAATGCATTAAATAGAATGTGTGCATATCTAATGTATAGAATAACAGAATAACAGAGTTGAAAGGGACCTTACAGGTCTTCTAGTCTAACCCCCAGCTTAGGCAGGAAACGCTACACCACTTCAGGCAAATGGTTATCCAATCTCTTTTTAAAAACTTCCAGTGTTGGAGCGTTCACAACTCCTGGAGGCAGGCTGTTTCACTGATTAATTGTTCTAACTGTCAGAAAATTTCTCCTTAGTTCTAAGTTGCCTCTCTCCTTGATTAGTTTTCATCCATTGCTTCTTGTTCTGCCTTCAGCTGCTTGGAGAATAGCTTGACTCCCTCTTCTTTCTGGCAGCCCCTGAGATATGGAACACTGCTATCATGTCATCCCTAGTCCTCCTTTTCATCAAACTAGATATACCCAGTTCCTGCAATCGTTCATGTCATAGATATCACAGGTATCATAGATATCTGGAAGGAGTGTATATAAAGGAAGTGATTGCAGCTGAATCTTCCCACCACTCCAATAAATTCCAGTGACTTCCTCCTGCCATAATTCACACATAGGGAATGCACTAGGTAGGAAAGCAAAATGGCTAAAGCAATACGACAAAGTTAACATTCAGCTGTTTTCATCCATACCTCGCTTGATCTTTAAAAAAAACCTAGTCTCTCTCCTCTGCTGTACACTTTAATGACTTTAAAAAAAAGCAAAAGTGGTGAACATATAACTAGCTTGGCCCTAGTAATGCATTGTTATCCACATGCAATCTAGTAGAATAATTTATACTTAAATTGGGAGGATATAAACAAGCATTTAAAAGAATACCAGACAGATTATTTAGGTATGTGTTTATGTTTGTATATATGTGGTTGTGTGTTTGAGTGTTTTGAGGTGGCATTTAATTTCTCCAATGATACTTTCAGAGGTGGATTAAGTTATAGGAAACATTTTTAAACATCTTGATTGATTTACAAACCTTCCTTTGAAAATAAATATTTTCATTTATTTGGGTAATAAGGTTCAATACAAGCCCGACCCAAACTATACAAACTCATCAAAAATCCGTCTTGAAACACATACCTACTGTATTGTGCCACCTATTCACTGCAAAAAGCCGGCTGCAAGTCACAGTTACCACTGCAGGAATTGTAAGGTGTGGGAGTGTATTGGCTGCCACGTGTGTGACAGGAGAATTTGATGGAAATTTGAGCACCATTATAACATCTTGCTGCATCTGATCTTTAAACATAAGTGGGCTCTGTGGAAGGAAACACTGTTGAGTAGAAAGGAAAAGAGAACAGAAGAAAACAGAAAGAATAACATAATTAGTGAGAAGGTCTGAAGGGAAAATAAGGTTAAGAGAGTCAGGAAGTACTTACACATCCAGGAGAAAAATGTTATTTATACAGCTACCACTACAAATACAAGTCAGCAAAATTAGAGAACTGGTTACTAGTGAATTATAGTAAGCCAAATATGGAAAAATCATGGCAAATGTCCATTAGTTTATCATTATAGGACATGTGATGATACGGCCAACATTAACAAATAGAAAATCTCACTAAAACGCTTACAGTTGTTTATATAGTAAAGATGTCAAACAGAAGCAGTAGTTTAGTCATTCATTAGGCTTATACAATACACAAGCTGAAGAAACATAAACTGGAGGAATTGAGTTAGGAGCTGTATAAAAGGCAATAGCAAAACTAAACGTAATAGCATTAACAGTAAGACGAAACACTGAGGTAAGCTGGAAATGGCAAAACCACGGAATACACTCTCCTTAATAAAATGCATTCCTGTCCTCTAATATTATCCTGGTGATTTTTAGTGATGTGGAACAGAATGAGGAAGTGTACTGTAACCTAAAAATCAATCTAGTCATGCAGCACTTGTCATGCTATATATGCTTGAGTGAACAGGCATGTCTTCAGCAGTTGTCTAGTAGAAGACAGCACAGGGCAAGTGACTTTCCTATAGAAGGAGACACCATAAAAAAAAGGAAACACCATAACTGAAAAGATCTTACTACTGGCCACAATACTGAGAACCAAATCTATTAGTAGAATTACAAGCTGGGAGATCCCAACTGATTTTAAAGCACATGTTGGAAGACATGGGGAGAAGTAATAGGACTTCATAAGCTAAATGTCAAGCCCTGTATCACACAACACAATAAAGGAAACAGAAATCACAAAGAACTCAATCAGAAATTTTAATGAAAGAATCAGAGGTAAGGAACAGAACCTAGGAGTCTGCACACCCTATTTGATTCATTAAAGTGGACTCTTTAAAATGGACTCTTTGAAGATTTTGAATATTTTATTCCTTGGCTTTGTAAAATATGGACTGAGTTGCCACTTTTGCATGTAAAAGTACTAGCACTACATCAAGACCTCAAATACTTCAATCACACTGCCTGATTCAATTGGAAACAAAGTGCTCGATGTAATCAGAATGATAATGTAATCAGAATGATGATGAGATCATGGTTCCACACTTCCAGATGATCATCACCAGCAATTTCACATAGACACTGAATAGCAAGGCACTCTGAGTTACATCAAAGCATGATCGCCATAGGAGGAACAGAAAGATTCCATTGACATTCTGTGTTGGTGTTTCTGTAAGGAGGCATAGAACTATCACAATATTCTGTCCCCAAATCCCAAACTACTAAATTGCTCTAGCATAGCAAAAAATCAGTGAAGTGGCAAGATGCTGAAAATTCCAGAACTTCTCTTGCTCTCTTTTGATAATGGGAATCTATTATAGCAACCAAGCCTATTTCAATTATTTATCCATATCTTCTATTTCAATTATTTATCCATATCATAATTATTTTCTTCCATTCACACTTGCAACTGAATGGCTTTAAATTTCTTTTTATCATCTTGCCAAAAGGGGAAAATTAAATGGCTACATATGCAACATTTGTTATCACATGTGAGTGTAATTGTCAATGGATTTAATAAGTCTAAAAGGTTATTTATTTCCAATCCATTCAATCCTTACAATATCCTTAAAAATAATGTAGGATGTGATTTGCATGATTGCTCTTTGGAAAAACAGTAAATTAAAAAAAAAAACAGGGCTCCTGTCCCTCCCTGTGTACTTCTTAGGTAAAGGCATATAGATTACAGATCTAAATGATTTCCAGAATATTCTAGAAGTGTTATGAGAATATATTTTACTTGCTATGATTTTGCTGTCCCTTAAGGCTTTAAGCATTTTCTTTCCCATATTTTAAAGAATACAGATAGTCCTCAACTTATGTTCATAATTGAGCCCACAATTACGGTCATGTCATTTTGATCGTTAAGCTGGTCACCATGTGAACTAACCTGACTTTACGACCTTTTTTGTGGCAGTAATTAAACAAACACCGAGTCATAAAGCAAATGTAGAGGTCATTAAACAAACTCCATGGCTGTTAAGCAAAACCATTGTTCACAATGGTATTTTTTGCTGGGAAATAAAGCAAACACTGATTTTTGGAAAAATGTTGTAAATTGCAGTTCCATGACTATGGGACACAGCAAGCAGCCATAAATGCAGGGTAGTTGCTGACCACTCAAACTGTGGCCACATGACCACAAGGGTGTATCCATGCCAACAATCAGAACTTCAAATACAGTCTTAAATACATTTGGGGGATCTATCATAACTTTGAACAGAAGTAAAGTGATTGGTTTGCCACTATTGGACTATGAATGGGGACCCAGGTTCACATCTAACTGCAGCTATAGAAACTCTCAGGGTGAATTTGAACTGTTATTCAATACAACCTGTTTAAGTAGACTGTTGATTTGAGATTAAAATGGGAGGAATGAGTACTACATACATTGCCTTTTGCTTCTGGGGAAAAAGAGGGATATAAATGTAATAAATGAAAAATAATTAATTGCAAGAAAAAGTCTTGCCTAAACAATTGTGCCTTTAATATGTAATGGCAGCTGAAGTAGGACCATTTAAAAATGTGCTGGACTTTCCCTTAAATATTGATAAATAATTCTCAAAATTTAGAGTTTTAAAATAGGAACTTTTTTGTTCCTATTTTGTTCCCGAAAGAAATACAGTATAATTCTTTCCATACATATATTTATATTTCTATGAAATAAATAAAGAAAAATGAATTAGAAATTATGTTCTAACTTCTAATTAGAGTTTAAACAGGTATTCAGCATCTCCTCTCTGAAGAGAGAGCAGGAGATTAACTATAATTCCTTATTTTGGATACCAAACCAGCAATCATAGATCACAGAAATAATTTCTTCAGCAATGGTCTGAAATAATCTACTGTGGTATGTTTCTACCATAACAACATAGGCTTTTCAAATTATAGAACATATTGTTAATCATAAGCATATTTATTATAGTAGAAACTGATTTAAAGAATCAAATAGTTGATAAATCACTTAGTAATTACCCTAGTTCTCCCTCTCTTTCACCATTCTATTATTTCCTGCACACAGAAACACACACACAGAAAATCTTGAGTTTCTAGGGAAGTCAGAACACATAAAGAGAAAATGTTACTTAAATGGGCATTTATGACCAATAAAGGATTCTTGGATTCAGAGGAAATAAATCCCTAACAAGCAGTTTTATCTCACCAGGTGCATAGCAGAGCTCCGAGGAGGATGTGGCTCGATAAGCAACTGAGATGGCGTCTGTCCAAAGTTCTGTATCTGTGCCTCCATGGCCTGCAGGGAAAGCAGAGTGCTTGTCATAATCAATGTGCATCAAAAATATAGGTCAACACACTCCTTGACAATACAAGCATATCCCAAGTCAGCCATGAAAAAAAGTCCAGAAAATTCACTGGGTGCTCTTCTCCCAGGCTGCAGACTCATCCAAGTGTTAGTATTTTGTAGACAAGTGTTGGTTCTTTCAAGCATGCTTCAGTTACTCCACTAATCGTTGCTATTTCAAGTAGCTGCAAATGCATGTGAAAATGTTAACCTGTGAGGACATGCAGCTTAAGACCTTGTGAGAATTCTCTGCACTAAGCATAACATATACCTTAATGAAGTCCTTTGTAAGGAGGAAAGTATGAGGGTCTCTAATAAAATAAGCATCTGGGATCTTAATTAGAAAAAACAAAATATAATTCGTGGAGAATACAAATCTAAAAAAAAATTATAATTTCCATCAGATTAACTAAGCACAATAGAGATAATTATGCAGCTAATTGTTTATCTACTTGTAGATAAACCAATTAGCCAAATATACAATTTTTATTGTGTTTTAATGCCACTTTCCTTAATACATAAGCATTTCCTTACTCAGTCTTCTTCAGATTAACATGCTATTTCATTGCTCAATTAATAATTAATAATGAGGTTATACATATTGTATTATTAATAATTTGAATTTTTCCAGTATTATCTCTCCCAACAATTTCCCTTACTTTTTTCTGCAGATCAAAAATCATACTAACAGTAACAATAAAAAAAAAAATCATAACCAGCAGCCAAACCTGGCACATTTGAAAGTTACAAGTTGACTTGGTGCTGGTGCTGAAGACATGTTGTCGGAAAAAGACCTAATGTGTGAAGCAATTAATGAAGTGCTAGCAATGCAAGTTTCCAGTTTTAAAAAGAGGACAGGAATTATTGCTCACCTTCTGCCCACGATATTGTGTCCCACCCAGCATTATAGAATGGATATCCCTTAAAGCAGTGTTTCTCAACCTAGCAACTTTAAAACGTCTGGACTTCAACCCCCAGAATTCCCCAGCCAACCTTGGTTGAGAGACACTGCCTTAAAGAGTCATGATATGGAAAATAGTTTCAGTTTTGACTACTTATAATGAAAATAACATGGTTTTATAACAATCTACAGAAATTCCCTCATGACTTCTAAGGCAGCAGATTTGTGAACAGCTATGCTAGCAACAGCAATGTTGAATTGTGTTTACTATCCTCTATCCTGCTCTGCTTACAAAATCTACACAAAACCTGGTTACACTCAACCTTTTCTTAAGATACAGCAAAACAGAGCACACTGAAATGAACAGGAGATTACTATGGTATAAATGACTAATGGTTCGTTGTTACCAAAGAACAATGCCACTAAGGAATCAGTCTAATCAGGAAAAATACATCTCTATTTCCAGTAGTTTGAAATCCATCTGTTCATTCAATAGATTGCAAACTAAGAGTATTACTTGCAATTAGAAGGTCTGAGGAAAAACATTAAATACAAAAGAAAGGGCAATGACTACAGATGGTGTGTTTGTACATTGTTGTAACACATGTTCTGTTATTTCTTATTTGTTTACCATTTGACTCCATCCTCTGCCAGAATCCTACCAATATCTTAGTTATGTATGTAAAAACATTAAATAGGTATGCCTTAATATATAGTACATGTACAATAGGTTATGTATTAGGTTATTTTCCACATGATTTAAGTATTTATCTCTTTTTTCCCTGTCATTTGAAAAACCCAATAAATACTTGGTACAAAATATCGAACTCCATGCAAAGCTTTCAAGAAAATCTCCACAAATCACATTCACTAGATGATAATTGAATCTAATACTGCAATCCCATGTCCACTTACCATTCTGTAAGCTCATTAAATTCAATGATTTCTAAACAGACAACCATCAAATTGTACAGGCAATGTTATTTAGAAACAGATAGCAGGAAATGCTCTAATGAAGAAATATTCCTGATACTCCAAAAATAAACTATGCTTGAGCAAGAACTGCACTCCAACTATTTCTGAAAACAATTTGCCTTACCTGAAGAAAAAAAACCCAATCTCTTTCATCTCTTATATTTGTCAACGTCCTATGTCTAAGGTTTGCTGATGTCTCCCTTCATCTTATGCTTTTAGTTTTTTCTTCCTATACTATTTGGGGCTCATTCTGAATACATTATTTCTGAAATAGGTAGGAGCGTATGTCTGAGTCTCTGGAGGGTTCAGGAGAACAGAACAGTGCTCTTTTTGTTCCAATACAGAATAATACATGCAACATACATAGAAAATCTTGTGCAATGCATAAGAACCCCTGTCCACCCCCAAGCAATGGTTGACTGCTCCAGCTGCAAACAATTCTGCATATTCTTCCAACAAATATGTGCAGCCCATAAATACATTTGTATAGTTGTGTGTGTGCATGTGTGTTTGCAGTATATACTATCAGAAGCTACATTTCAAAAAAAGGACAATATGGGACAAAAAACCAAGGCATTTCATTACAAAATTAAGTGACTCCAGCTGTGTATACTCATTTGAACATACAAACTACTGTCACACAGAAATACATAAATACAAGCATATGTTCCTTTCCCTTCTTCCAATAAGAACAGCAACGATAACTAAGCAAACAATAACAAAAATAAAACCCTAGTAAGGAAATGACTGCATTGGGAAGAGAAGAAAATAGGGGCTAGGTAAAGAAAAGTGGGGAATGGAAAAGGTAAGTGAATATGATGGAAAAAGAGAGCAGCAATACACAAACTATTGCCCAGACTAAATTTCAAATACATCCAAGCATTGCAGCAGTAAGCTCATGATTTTAATAAAGCCGAGGTGGCGCAATGGTTAAATGCAGCACTGCAGGCTACTTCAGCTGACTGCAGTTCTGCAGTTCGGCTGTTCAAATCTCACCGGCTCAGGGTTGACTCAGCCTTCCATCCTTCCGAGGTGGGTAAAATGAGGACCCGGATTGTTGGGGGCAATATGCTGACTCTGTAAACCGCTTAGAGAGGGCTGAAAGCCCTATGAAGCGGTATATAAGTCTAACTGCTAATAAAACTAATGCATATCCCAGGTATTTGGGAAGGACAGAAATGCCAAATCCAGACTAAATCTCTCACTGTGTGCAATTAGTTATAATGATAATATCCACCCTCCATAAAATCTGAGGATAGAGTAGGAAAGAAAATCGGTATTCAAGGTTTTTTAGTCTTAAAATATACAGCCAAGATGTGGAAAATCTCTCAAAATTAGTATGTGAAGTCTGATATTGCTATGCAAATTTTGTGTCTATCTTGAAATTCAAATACATGCCGCTGAAATACAGTCATTAATGTTTCACTCATATATGTTTAAAAGTAAAGGGAACCACAGCAGAAATCGATAAAAGTCTCTTGGGATGGCCACTTTTTACTAAATATATGGTATCCACACAATAAAACATTAAAGTTATTATCTTAAATCACCAATCAATAACCTTGTATTCACAAGTTAAAACTGTGCCTAATATATCAAGAAAGTTGGAAAAGATTATAAAACTAATTTAGTTCACTCTCCCTGCTTAGTATAGAATCTATTATACTATCAACATATTTGATAGATGATCACTCCACTCAGAAAAACTACATAAAGGAATGCCAAAAACTGATGGTTTCCAGAAGGGTGCACTTGATATTTATTGTGAATGGGTTTTTTGCCATTTGGTGTCTAAAACAATACTTTAATAACAATACAATCCAGTAATCATGAAATAAATGGACAAAACTATCATAATCTTGTAATCATCACAATTAAACAGCACCATGCTTCAGCAAAATCTCACCACACAAACAGGAACTTTCTGTCACAACAGGAATAAGTCTCTTCTGACTTCTGGTAGTTTTAAATTATAATAAATGTATATTGTCACAAGCTTTCATAGTATAGAGCTCACTTCCTCAGGTGCATGAACTGTTACCCCAAATGGCAGATCAGCTTTTTATTTCTTGAGGCAGTTAAGATTTCCTTCATAGCATAGAAAAAAACAACAACTACTTGCTGCTGTTTCCAATTTTATAAGCATGAATAGAGCTTTTTTATGTTAATTAGGTGTTGAAGATACTACTGTCGCATGCTGAGTGTTTCATCTTATACACTATACAGGAAGAATATTGTCCAAGCACATAATTTAAAGGGCCTAGGTGAAGTCCTTGAGTTTTCTTTGTAATACTGAAAATCAGAATCGCTACTGCCAATCACTGCAGGAAATAATTCCAAACTAAACAATCCAAGAGTCTAACTTGGCATAAGGCCATTTCCTATTTTTGGAGCCAGATGAAACTATTTTGAAGTCTTGCTGTTGCCCTTTCCTTTGCAATTCATACTGCTGAGCATGACCAGATTCCCCTCTTTCTTCTATTTCATGCATGTCCAACTGATGGAAAATCGACAATCTATGTAAACGTAGAACATGGAGCTTGACAATATGTTATATGACATTTACATTTAAAGCAGCAAGGATGAAATGCCCCTAATACATTTTTTGCTATATAAAAGGTTTAAAGGAGGATTTCCCAAACTGGGACATGTCTTTCTTTTTAGAAAGTACAGACAGAGTTCAGGGCAGGTGTGAAGAACATTTTAGTTATCTTGTTATAATAAATCCACCTTTCCCAAAGATTCAAGATATGGCTTCCATTGTTCATTTTGGATCGTTAGGGAAAGTGGTAAGGTAAAGGTAAAGGTAAAGGCTCCCCTCGCACATATGTGCTAGTCGTTCCCAACTCTAGGGGGCGGTGCTCATCTCCATTTCACAACTGAAGAGCCAGTGCTGTCTGAAGACATCTCTGTGGTCATGTGGCTAGCATGACTAAACGCCAAAGGCGCACGGAACACTGTTACCTTCCCACCAAAGGTGGTTCCTATTTTTCTACTTGCATTTTTATGTGCTTTCGAATGGTTAGGTTGGCAGAAGCTGGGACAAGTTATGGGAGCTCACCCCATTACATGGTGC